CACTCGACCACAGAGCTTGCTGGGGTCGGCTGGCCGGTCCGAGTCAAATGAAGCAGCGGGTACCGCGAACTATTTTCAAGATGTATTTTTTTTTCAGATGTATTTTTTTTTATTATTGATTTGTTTTTCACATTTCTACTTTTAAACGTACGTTTACGGGACTTTCTCTCTGGCTTATCATGTGGGGCTGAAATTTCGACTTACCGTAGGTGGATCGAATCATATGTTGGTTGAAACCTGCTGGAGGAGATGGATACTGCATACAGGATCACTGTAGGAAAAACCACTCGTATATTGTGGGTGGTGAAGACTCTCCTTCTCTCTTTCTCCCCTCTCTTCCTTTTTCTTTTTTCTTTCTTTTTCTTTTTTTTTTTTAGTAAACAGTAGGCCAAAAAATCGCGGTTGATTGAAAGAGATTGATGCCTGACGGCGAAGTTGGCCAGTCTGCGTTGTGTATGGACGTGGATCTCAATGGCTTTACGCGACTCCGGTCTTGGGACGGCCGATTAACCACGGCTCACGCCGGCCGGTCCCCGGCAGCGGTTGGAGGGTTTGCTTTCGTGCTCTCTGCAGACGTGTCGGGGCCCCAGACCGGACGTGGATGGGTTTACACAGCGTACTCCGCCTATGTTGCTATCTCCCTTGACGGCGGTTTGTGCTCTGTCATGCGCCTTCAGAGATCTTGTAGCTGGCTTGTAAAATACTTGTGCTAACAGAGTGACCCAATCAAAATGTAACCCTATCCATTTCGATTGGTTGGTTCTGCACAGAGTTTGTTCTGTTTTGTCCCTGTTAATACAGAAGAAAAAATAATGGAGTTCGGTATTCAGACACCACATCCTCAAAACGAGTAAGTGCGCGTGAAGTATGCCTTCCCGTTGTGGTTTGTCCGCCGACCCACACGTCCTGAACGGGTTTGGTTGTCAGACCAAAAGATACCGAGATCTTTAGGTTTGGTGGCGTGACAAAGAGGGAAAGATCCCTTCGTCTTTTTTCCGAAAACACCGTTGATTTTCATAGTGTCGTCAATATAACCTACTCAAATATTGGGCGTGTATAGGTTTGCCTTTCCTAACTGCGCATTTTAAAATAATCCCCAAGTTTCCTGAGAATTTACTGATTTCCATATTTGCACAACTTTTATTGCGTTATTAATCCGACTAGAAACAAACAGACGTGCTCGCGTTGCACCTTAAAATGGAAGGGGTAGCACTAAGCATTACGTCATACTCTATTTTTGTGGTCATCGGCTTACTGCCGTCATATTTGATACGGCAGTGAACCAGCCCATGAACGTGTCTGAACTTGCATTACATCATGTGTTTTGTTCTCGAATGACCTTACCCTTTAGGGATACCGAATTTACTTTTAACATGAAGACGTCAGTCTTTGTTTACATATTATCTTTCTCAGGTGGGACGCGATCCATTGAGACCACAGGAAGAGGTGCGCGCACATGAGAACAAAACTACGTCATTGTAATATTATTCTATAGGTTCATTGGCTCATTAAATTTAATTGAGAGAGCTTTGGTCTTAAGAGATGCTCCTTCGGAATCTGCTCTGCCAACATCATTTTTTGGCCTGACGAGAGACACTGTCGCTTCTTGCGTTTATTTTTCATTGATTTCTTACCATTTTTGAGAACGTTTTTATCGAACGTTTTTACCGTGCACATGGACAAATCATGATGGCAAAACTCTTCCCTCGGTTAGGTTAACCTTTGACAGGACGGGCGTCTTTACACGCGTTGCAAGTTTTTCAAAACCAAATAGGAAAACAACAACAACAACAAAACAAAATCAACTTACAACAAAACGGGATGTGACGGCTCAAGATGGAGTTTAGTCTCGCTTAATTAGGCTGGTGAAACAAAGACTGCCGTTGATGAGTTAATTAATCAGTGTCATGCTTTTGGACGAGTTGTATTTTCAATTTTCAGTGGAATGTACTCAAATACTACTTTACTCTTGTTTATTGAAGTGTGAGTTGTGCGCCAATTGATTGTAATACCAGTGTCCATCCATGACACATTTAAGATTGTCACTTAAGGACAATTGATGTGTTAGATTTATTCTTAGACACACCTTTGTTCATCTTTATACTCGTCTTCAGAGTATGAAAACTGTACTGTTTGACATCCTTTGCGGTTTTAAGTATTGAGCATTTCAACATTTAAAATCGTCCACGTGTCTCGGGCAACTGAGGGCGCTGTGGCTCTGATGTGCATCAAGGGGCAAGTTCGATAGAGGACCATAATTAACTATGCAGTGCGACTTACTCTGATCTAACGCACGCCAGTCGACGATGGTCCGACTAGTCCATAGTCAACTATTTGCGACCATCCTACCGGTCACGAAGTTTGGTTGCCTTAAACCCTTTCTAATAGCACAGTGCAGAGAGGACCAGTTATCAGAAAAATGCCGGAAAAAACAGTATGCCACCAGTAAACAGCCACTTTCTCTGTAATTTTTGCTCTTTTGCCTTTCCTGCAGCCACCTTTTCTCCTCTTCGACCTAACGACCTGCAATGGTTGACTAGGGTAGTTCGCTCTTCAACTTCACTGCACATGCGCTAGGTACGTCACGAATCAACCACTAGTTAACTAGTGGTCCTTGATCGAACTTGCAGTGTTCAATTCGCAACTCTTTCTTTTGGTTTTGCCCACTGCCTGAAAAAGTATAATCTGAGGAAGGTTAGCTCGTTGGTTGATTGCCATGTACTCAGAAAAAAAGAACCACCAAAGAAAAGGAAATTTAGGACGGCGAAACGGAAAGAAATGTGCGCACACCGATGCAACACTGAGGTGTTCTTCGGGAGGGCACAACAGCTTTGCTCGTGCTTATGAAGGTTCTCATCAGCATAAAAAACCAAAAGGCCTCAAAACAGCTCTTAAAATAGCGCAACAGAAATTGGAAATAAGATTATTGAAACACAAAGGCCCCTCTTTGTCCCATATGTGGAGAAACAGTCAACCAGAAAGCATGAGGCTCCTCCGGGCATGGTTGGAGAGACAATTGCTAAGGTACTTCACAGACCTTGGACAGTTTGTACTAACATGATTGTTCCATGACTTTTGTTTCTCGCAAAGACCGCGCTGCGGTTGCTGTTATTTCTAATCACTCTTGTATAAATTGTATGCAAACCAGCTGGCAATTATATCCAGTCATTATCTCATAATACCCCACTGTCTTTATGTAATCCAATATGTATTTTGAATCGCACGAATGTAATACATGTACGTATGTGCACTTTATGTTCACTGCTTTTCCTATTAGACTTAAGCTATACGTAAATGCCACTATTATGTAACTAATTTAAAAAGTGTCCGGCGTATTTGAATGGTTATGTTCAACATTTATGTGTAGTTGTACTTCTTGCGTCAGATTCGTTAGTTAATTTAGATCTACACACACCCTGCGCATAAGTATTGAAACATGGAGGACAGCTGACTGGTGCGTTGACAGTGTTTGCCAGGCAGAACGTAAAATTTGCCACTATTTTCACTTACACTTATTTTCGCTGCCCTAATAGATGTGTCTCAGAAAGAAGGGGGCGGAGCAGTCCGCCCACCATCGAAGGGGAACGGAAGGCATATCAGAATTATCCCGAGTGGCGTGTATGCTGCTTTATCAATTCAGTCGATTTAGTAACTTATCGGTTTGTGATTTTCGAAAAAAGTGAAATCCCGTACACATGTCATGTAATCTGGGATTGAAAACAGTCAGCCCACTTTGAGTTTTTTTTTTTGCAACGTCGCTCGTTTGACAGCAGCGTAAATGCTCGTCACGGTCTGCACAGTTTAAGCCACAACACATCACGAATTACCCCGCCAAGAGTGTGCAAAGTACACTTCCCATCGAGTACCAATGGAAATCTGGGAAGCTATCTCCATGTACAACAGAAACAGGCTCAATATACATATGTATAGGAGATTGACTCGAGGTACAGCCTAGCGCACTACAAAACAGGCACTTATTTTCTACACATAGGCCACCTCTGGAAAAAAAAAACACGAGGACACTTCCGAGTATCAAGTGTTTGCATATGAGGTGGTCCCGATCATGCCCTGTGTACTTGTATATGTGAATTTATAGGTATGCAGTTCCCCCAAGTCCTTGGATACAAAAGCAAAATGGAGGCACCAGTGCTATAAATAAGGTTTTATTAACGGGAAATGCCCAGGTTCCAGCATCATGGTGACGAAGCCCGTGATGCCCCAAAAATTTAACCGTGGACTCTTTATTTTATAAGAATAAACACCCATTCGAAATTCATAAGAAAATATTTTCAATTTCATTGGTTTTAGAGGTTTTCTTCGCCAATATTGAAAATAAAACTAAAGACAACCCAGGCTTTCTACATATTTCGATGCTTTTTGTGCACAGGTGCGTGAAATTGAAGCGAGACTGTCGTTTCTTCTCATTTTGATAAATAGACTTTTTAATAAAAAATAAATAAATATGTACTTTGAATAACACATAATCTGTAAGTACATTGTATGTGCACTGTGTTAATAATAACAACTGGTAGATT